CTCCGAGCTTCTGTGGCCGTGGCGTTTCCTGAGGAAGAGGCCTCGGTTTGCTGTGGAAATCATCTTCTGCCCTCCCTCCTGCCGGGTGTCCCTCCTTCCGTCCCTGTAGCTGCGTGAGGCTGTGCTTCCATGCAGTGAGCGAGCCTCCCCGAGGACGTGTACCCGAAACATTCACGGTGGATATTGGCTGCTTGAGAAATGCATCGCTCTGTTGTGGGGGGTCATGTAGCTGCGCCCTGGATCACCCTCCTCTGAAGTTAAATTTCTGAGTTCCCCTCATTAGAGCTTAGGATGCAGCAGTGACAAGGGGACAAAGGACTGTGATGTCCCTGGTACCTCTTTAAGGAGTGTGGAAGCTGAATGTGCTTTGACTCCTTCCCATGTGGTACAGCACTTGTGGCTGACGCATGGTTTGGCGGCGACAGCAGTGACTAGTGCTCCTGTGCTTTTTATAAATTACAGTATGCTTCCAGACACACTCGCATTCGGTCCTCACGACGCCTAAGCCACAGCTTCCTAGCTTCCTTTCGCCTCACACCCTTCTTTCCTCTTCCCTACTTTTGTAGCCTCCAGTGTCTCTAACTTTTGCATCCACCGCCTCAGAGTTTTCCCTGGACCCCCCCCACCCCCCAACCATGAGGCGCGCGGTGTGATAAGGGAGCAGGAGGGATGCTGGGGTATGTGTGAGGCTCAGGCCTCGATAAGCGGCGTCCTGCTTGAACACAGAGAGGAGCAGGCGTGGGTGCGTGACCTGTCAGCGTGTGGGTGATGTCACCGCTGGGGGAGGTGAGGGCGGCGTGCCGTGGGGACAGCCTGGCACCGGTCCCCAAGACATGTGGTATCTTTCATTATGATTCTCACTTGTCCTTCTTGCATGTCAGTTGTACAATCCCACCTAAAGCATCGAGCCCTCATCACCAAGGACTAAGATAACAGCATCTGAAGAGATGGATTTTGTGTTTGCGACATCCAACCACTAGGAAAAGGCTTAGCCTGTGTTCAGTTCCTTGTTTTCTTCTTGCCGGTGTTAAAAATAACGATGAGCAACCGTTCTGCCGCTGGGGGCACGCGGATTGCCAACTGGGGATGTCAGCTTGCATTAGCCGCTAGGACCCGTTGCCTTATGGCCTCGTTAACGCACCTGGGCTGGTTAACGCTTTGTTTTCCGCATCAGTCAGCCATTGTTCTCCTGCCAGGCCTGCCTGCAGATGACAAAGCCACTTCCCAGAAAGGCATGCACAGTTTGTTCCTTCAGCTGCCTGGGCGCAGTGGCGTCCCCAGTGTTGTCCAGGCTCTGGGAACAGGAACACCCTGTGTCACCTGTCCTTAAGCAGCTTGCAGTCTGCTGATGACACACAGGCGATGTGTACATAACTTAATGGTGCAGTAACGTCCCAGAAAAGCATTTACAGAGTGCTACAGCTCTGTCCAGGGGAGAGAGGCGTGAACTCTGCCCACGGAACCAGGCAGGGCTCCCCGACACATCCAAGACGAGAACTAAAGAACGTGAAGGGGTTTGCCTGATTGCCAGAAGGCAGAGAGGCGTGTCTGGAAACAGAGGTGGCAGGTGTACGGTGACAGTGGGACGGCGACGTGGCGGGGACGACGTGTCCCAGGAGCAGTGAACTGAGCAGAGTGGGGAGAACTGCGAGCGGCTCAGAGGGGAGGGCAGGAGTGCAGACTTGCTGGGCAGTGATGTGCAAAGGGCTTTCATCCTGAGGACAGAAGCCGGGGGCCTCGGGCTCGTGCCTCGGAAACCACAGGCGAGAGAATGTGCGGGATCATTTCTACTCAAATTTTAAACAATTCAGCTCCATAAGTTAAGAAGAGAAAGTCTGAATTTGGGGACCCAAATGAGATGTTCAAAAAAACATATTAACCTGCATTCAAAAACTGTCCCTGGTTATTCCTGTGTAAAGATTAAATGTGCATTACAGACCAGGGCAAGAAAGGAAGACGGAAGAAAGGAAAAATGTTGTTTTCTTGGATTAGCAAGATTTTTAATGGTTTTTTTTTCTCTTTAATGGGTTTCCTGTTGTTGTTACAATATTGCTATGCAGTAAAAAACAAAAAAACTATTACCTGCACTCTGAGAAATGAAATTCGGCAAATGAAAAGGCAATTTCATAAAGAATGCCTGCTTTCCCATGGGTGTCATTACCCTGCTTTTTAAGTGTGAGAATGTTACTTGAAAGGGGATGTGACACATCTGTCCTTAAGAAACGGTGTAAATGACCCAGAATCACTTCGCCTAAGTGGGCTGTGCCATCAGCGCCAGTTTGGCTGTCAGATTACGTACACATTCTCCCTTTTTTTCAATAATGTCCACAGAAGTGGTTTCCTGGGCAAACCCTTGGTCCAGTGAGCAGGGTTTCTGTCCTCTCTCCTGAACTATTCTGACTGTCATTCGTTTTTCCACCCACAGTCGCAACTTCACAGCTTTCCATCTTTCTTTCCCATCCTTTGTGTGTCTACAGAGCTTATACTGTGTCAGGCACCTTTGAAGTTATTACTTTCCACCTTCCACCCTGGAGGACAGGCCCTCCAGGGGCCCCGTGCATGTTTATCCACCCTGCTCACTTAACCTGTGACGCAGCCCATCCTATCAATAGGCTGTATGAATGGCTGGAGACGCTGAGGTTGTATTGATACACAATTCCATCTCTGGAAATTTCCTTTCATTTCTAACTCCACCTTCTGGAGCTTATAAGAATAAGCCTTTTCTCTCTTTCACGTGATGATTCAAATAGACGAAGACTAAGGGTTTCGTTTTTGCGTTTGGACGCTCCCCTCAACCTTATTTGATTTACATGTTACGTAACTGTCTCCTGGTTCTCTTTGTAGACACATTCTCTCGATCATTATCCCTGACAATACCCAGCCCGGACCAGGACATCGTGTTGGGGGTGTGTTCGGATCAGAGAGGGGCCACACTGGGCATGTCAGCAGCACATTTGTCACTGCGACATTTGTCTAAGAGCACTTTTGCAAGTTAATCAGTTTCACTACTAGCTGGTCACGAAATTAACAGAAAGCAAAAGTCCTAGGCTTTCTTTGCACATAAACGTTGACCGATGCATCTAACAGATGTGTTTGACATAGAATTTCGAATTCTAGGTTATTCTCATTAGAAGCTAGATTACAAATAGATCGCTTGTGGGAGCTGATGAAGATGGCGACATTCATGTTATCATTCTGGATCTGGAAGAAGATTTAGTGCTGAGTAGGAAGACATTTGGGTTTTTTATGGTAGCCCTGGGATTTAATGAGATCAGGGCTGGAGACATGTCTGTTGGGCTCTGCGAGAGACGTGCACAGTACACTGGTCGTAGGAAGGGTACTGCTTCAAAGTTTATGCTATTCACAAATTTGGTGAGAAGGGCTTATTTTCTTTGTAAACGTGGATAAAGTGAAAAGCTGCAAGATCCTATCACTTTCCCTGGGTATCGACCAGTGACTTTCTCACGTAGAAAACCCTATTTAATAGGAAAGGAGACTGGCGCAGTGCAGCTGTTTGTCCCGATTCTGTGCTTATGTTCGGTCTTGCTGTTAAGTGCCAAAGAGCCACTTATTAATAGATAAATTAAACTGTGGATGGCAAATAAGAATACTGATAGAAATTTCTGAATAACTGTAGAACTCTTTCCTGCTAAGGCTTTAATGGCTCTCAGACTCCGTCTTAATTTGATAACCTAGATAGCCAATATCAAATACTGGGATGTCAAGTATTAATCATTTACCGTCATACGGCTGAGCGTTCCTTCATTTTGATGTGCAGCAATTTGATACGTTCTAATGACCTTACGTCTTGGATGACTGTGTATTTACATATTGTGCTGTCTGCTTCTGGAGGCCCTTTCCATTCTGTCTCATCCCAACTTGGAGCGCATATGAGTTGCAGTTATGGGCTATAACAGAGAATGTTTTGTAATCCATGTACACGCAGAAGTAGCAACGGTCCATTTGCAGTGTGACCATGTGTCTTTATGTACCCTGGAGTGTCCCAGTTGCTCTCGAAAAATTAATAATTATAATTATTAATAGATAACTATTATCTTCCTAACTTATTGTGAATTATCAGTTTTACTTTTTTTGTCTCAAAGGATCCCAGTTTGGACTATCAATTATATAATCATCCCAATTTGAAAGACACTAAAAGTTTGGTCTCAACAGCCAATATGCCTGATTAAGGTCCTAGATTTATTGAACCTTTAGCCCCCTTTAGCAGTGTCTCCAGATCCTCCCTTCCCACCCCCAATGCTACAATGCAAGTGGGGTTCCCTGGAAGGGACTGAAACCTAGAATAGGTGAGTTACCCGGTGCAGACAGACCTGGGAGACCTTGAAGGAAAGGCTCGAGATGATGCGCAATGGGCAGAGGCTGATTAAAACGAGCGCGCAGTGCATGCTAAAGAGATGTTTGAATTTGGTAGCCTGACATGGCAGCTAACCATGTGATGTAAAGCAAGAAAGGAGAGGGAACGTAGCGCCCACCTGGGTTTGATTGTGTGGGAGTTCATAGGCTGGCTGTCACGAAGAGAAAGCTCGGTAGCTGCCCTACGCTGGAGAGCCTGGTTTATTGGGTGGGCAAACCGGAAGTCCACACAGAAGCCGTAAACGTGGTAAAATACCCGATTCTTTCTTAAGAGAAGGCTTGCCAGGAGGACAGCAGGGTAGAGAAGAGAGCGCATCGTAGCCTCCAGGGTGAGAGCATGCCTCCTTCACTGTTTCACATCTTGGTTCTTGACTAAAGTAAAACATGTTTATTTGGCTTCTCTGATTTCCTGTTTCACTCACCGTGCTTCTCTTTTCTGTCATTTTCAGGAGCTGGTGGGGAGCAACCCTCCACAAAGGAACTGGAAAGGAATAGCAATCGCACTGCTTGTGATTCTGGTCATCTGCTCCTTGATTGTCACCTCCGTCATACTGCTGACACCAGGTACTTACATTTCTTCTTGGGAAAGCAAGGCACCATATGGAGAAAGAGCATGATTTTACCTTGCGATTGTCTTAAAGTAACTATCTAGTGCATAAATTATGTTTCCCAGGTTCAAATTATCATTGTGCCATATGGCAAAATGATGTTATATGCTTTCAGTGGAAAAGAGCCATTTTGTATGCTTTGAAATTGTTTATATAATTGGTGACTAGCGGAAATGCTTGGTATCTATTAAAATTCGCAATTACTCATCCTTGCTTGATGAGCTTAAAGGCAGTGACATTATAAATCTAATAATTTTATATATCTCATAGCATTCCTGAATCCTATCAAGGATGAATTAAGAAAATTCTTAACGCAGCATATGTTTTGCATGGGCTAAGAAGAAAGTACGTATTAGATACTACTGGTGCAATAAAAGTCGTATAAAAAGGAGTTAGAAATCTCTCAGGGAAGAAAATAACACGAAAGTCATCAGCAGAAACCTACAGCAAAGATATGTACGCACATAGACTTTGAATGTTTCAAAAGTAAGTGGTATGGAAGCTTACAGGAGAGAGAGATCTTTTGTGAGAAAGTCGTGGAGATGGTAAGATGTGAAGTGGGCTGTAACAGAGCAGTGAGATAAGGAAGAGAAGAAAGCCTTTTCCACAAAGATCACCATATGGGAGTTATAACAAAAAACGTTATATGATCAGTGTAAACAGGGTGCAACTATTGTATCCATTCTCATTGTTGGATTAGATGCCTGTTTCTGTGAACAAAAACATGTTTTGGGCCTCAATAAATAGATTGTGCCAGTATCAGACCTTCAGATGTAAAAAATGCAATGTAAAAAAAATATTTTTTTGATAGTTACAAAAAATGCAGGCAAATTATGGTGTATGTTTAAACTATAATCACAAAACTTAAATGAAAAAAAAAAAAGAGTGCTCGGTACCCTGAGACCCAAAAGGAAAGAAAACTGTAAACCAGCATCTCTTAGGAACGTAGGTGCAAAACCTCACAGAATACTAGCACACTGAATCCAGCAACATATAAAAAGGATTATGCACCGTAACCAAATGGGATTTATCCCAGGAAAGGAAATACTATTTAGCATAAAATATCAATGTAATACAACCATGTTAATAGAATAAAGGGGAAAAAAACCAACAACATGATCATCTCAATAGACGCAGAATAAGCACTGGACAAAATCCAAAATCCTTTCATGATAAAACACTCAACAAGTAGGACTAGAAAGAAACTTCTCCAGCCTGATAAATGGCACCTATGAAAAGCCCATAGCTAATAGCATACTTAATGGTGAAATACTAACAGCAGTCCTCCAAAGATCGGGAATAAGACCGTTTCTATTTAACATTGTTTTGGAGATTCTAACCAAGGCAGGTAGGCAAGGAAAAAAATGACATCCAGAGGGTGGAAGAAAGAAGTAAAACTATTTCTGTTCATAGATGACATAATGCAGTATACAGAAACTCTTAAGGAACACACACACGCGTGCACACACACACACATACACACGCACACACACACACCTGTTATAACTAACAAATGAGTTCAGCAACTATGGAAGATACATCTTTATTTGAAAATCATTTGTGTTTCTATAAACCAGCAATGAACACTTTAGAAATGAAATTAAGAAATGCTTCCACTTAGAATAATTTTTAATGTGTAAGAGGAATTAAATAACAAATGAAATATAAGACCACTGAAAACCACCAAACATAACTGAAAGAAATTAAAGAAGAGCTAAGTAAGTGGAAAGACAGTCTATGTTCATGGATTGGAAGATGTAATTTTGTTCACAGGGCAGTACTTCCCAAATTTATCTAAAGATTCAACCCCATCCCTATCAAAATCCCAATTGTTTTTATTGCAGAAATTGACAGGCTGATTCTAAAATTCATATGAAAATGTGACAGACTTAAAATAGCCAAAACAATCTTTAAAAAGGACAGTTAAAGGATAGATAGATAGATAGATAGATAGATAGATAGATAGATACCAATTTTAAAACTTGCTCTAAATCTACAGTAATCAAAATATTGTACTATCATAAGTATAAACACAAAAGATCAATGAAATAGAATTGAGAGTTCAGAAATAAACCTGTACAGCTATGGTCAGTTCATTTTGGATAAGGGTGCTAATACCACACGATGGGGGGAAAAATTGTCTTTTACACAAGTGGTACTTCTACAACTGGGTATCTACACGCAGAAGAAACAGGTGTTCACATCATATACAAAAATTAACTCACTGTGGATTCACCGCCTAAATATAAGAGCTAAAACTATAAAAACTCTTAGAAGAAAACATAGGTAAATCGTTGTGACCTTGTATTAGGCAACTGTTTTATTAGATATGACATCAAAAGCACAAGCAACCAAAGNACCACGTCAGAGGATTTTTGGAAAGCACCAAACTACAAGCCAGTGGCTCAGTTAGATGGCGGCTGAGTCTGTGAAGGAGTCATCAGGCCTGGAAGCTCAGGAGGGACTTGCAAGTGACCGACCTGATGACGACAGAGGCTGGCGTCCTGGCTGGGCCACAGCACTCGCTATATTGTACATAGTCATACTGCCACCACCGCCAGCTGTCCCTATGTCAAAACAAAGCCTTGTCAGCTTTTAAACTATCTTTTAAAAACAAAGAAAATTATAGTTTTTTAAAAAATAAAACATTTTTTTGGATGAATAGAACAGTCGTTTATGAAAACATTGTTCGGAAAGTGAATGCATTATCTTCCCACCTTTTACCCAGAGTTTGTTTAAATGGCAGCCGTACGTTCCTCACTTATTAGACGCATGGATACGTCAAAATGTGGGGCCAGACTCATCCCTGAATAGTGAAGTATCGTCAGATAAAGCTTAAGTTTTAATATGATTATTTTCTATTTAACTATATACATAAGAATGTCCTGGAAATTTTTATACTTCTTTTTTGTTTGCTTTTGTTTTATTTGACTTACTGTGTTCTTATTGCAATAAATTTGACATAGACCATGGAGTGAGTTTGAGGTATACAGCGTGTTGACTTGATACGTTTACACATTGCCATACGATTGACTAGCACTAGCTAACACTTTGATCACGTCACACAATTANCCACTCACCGTGAGGGTCTGCGCCGGACACTCTCTCCTCTCTGAGACTCTTCTCAACGTCCCAATTTGGCTCTATCATCTCTGCCCCCAGAAAAGGAACGGAAATTCATTCACATTAAAATATATACTGTTGTCTTTCAACCTCTGAGAGGAAAAGACAATACCTGTCTCCCTCGTTGAGTTCATTCTTTTTGTTATTTTGCTTACATGCATTAAACAGATATAAATTCCACTCACAGTTCCTATAAAATTAACAGAATTTGCTCATTATACCCGGCATTCCTTGTTGACCTGATTCAGAGGCTGATAGGTTTTTTTCTAATTAAGGAAATTTGTGCATTAACATGTTTTATTAACCTCTTTTAAATTTACAGATAATTTTTCTTTTAACCTAGAGGACATAGTGTCATCATTAGCCTTCCCTGCTTGATATTTTCTATATTTTGTGATTTTTATGAGCATCCCGCTTCTGGAATCATTTGGGAACACGCCAGATTCTGTGAATAACATCAATATTATAGTTCTCCTGCAAATATGGTCCGTGTTAGCTTTGCTGAGTCCCTACACATCCTTGGAGAATCCATCTAACCTCTCGGTAGCCCAGGCTTACCTTCCATACAATGTCTTTCCTTCCTCCTCCGTGAAGGATCAAGAGATAACAACTGTCAGTGTTCTCTGGAGACCACAGCATTTTAGCGTTGTCAGTTATTGAATTTCTAACAAAAGCAGAACTTGCAGGAGACTTCTGGCTAATCTGGGTAGATTCTCTCTGTAAGCAAATCGGGCTTGTCAATGGGTCACATCCACTCGAAGTGACAGAAAACACCAAGAGAGGTTATGCTGCATTTTAATCCATTTTAAGGTGACAGAATTAACTTCTAATTTAAAATATCTCTGAGAAGAGGTCCCAAAATATTCTCCGATAATTGCACTACTGACCCACCAACTATTTAGCACGCCTCAGGAAAGGAAGGAGCATTATATCCTGGCCCACGGAGAGAGTAACCACATCACTGCAGATGAGAGCACGCCTTTGCACGCCCGTGAGCGCACCACATGCCAAGTCCAAAGCCATGTGCTCATCCAGCCAAGGGGCTGAAAGGAACTTTACTTTGCAGGCATCCTCCAGTTGCATTCAAGATGTGAAAGCCACCGGCCATGTCTCTCTGTGTGTTGACTTCAGGCATGTAGAAAAGAGAGGAAAATAAATAACAAAACTGTAGCTGCACTCGAAAATAAAACAGGGAGCTCTTCATACACCTGAAGTAGAAAGGTGCCCTTCAGAGCAGGGCCAGGTGAAAACCTACAGAAGCAAGTAAGGCCAGATTCCTGCCACCCTCCAGGGAAAGAGACCAGATAAGCTCAGGCCCCACAGAAGGGGCTGGGATAGCAGTCTCCATGAGAGGCCAGGGGCTGGACAGATGTCCCCCGCCTTAAAACTGGGGTCATGGCCAGAGGGACTAGAGTCCCATCGTCCATGTGGAGTAAAGGACTACAACCCAAATGGCCACCCAAGGCCTGGTGAGAGCCATTCCCCCATCCAGAGCCTCCAACTGCCCAGGACATTCCTGCGACCACCCACCGGGAGCCTCTTGTGATGCAGGACACTTGTGGGGGAGAAGCTCACAACCAAGAATCACAAGGACCCACAGAGACCAACACCAGCGTAACACACATGAGCGCTTACAAATCCATAGGGAAAACAGAAAATGACATTTTAGGTTTTTAAAAAAATTACCAACATGATGAAGGAGCTTGCGACTGTAGCTCTTGCAGAAGAGTTAATCGGAAATATTAGAAATTAAAATACAATTATGTCAAATTTTTAACCTCAGTAGTGGGATGGAAGAGCAGAATAGACATGCTAAAGGAAAAAAAAAAATNG